TAAATACACACACATGCATGTATATATTTCAGAAAAATATGTTATGTTTATATATTAAATATATTTATAAATTAAATGAATATAAATATAGACATGTAAATACATCTAAATATTTTCAAAATATATTCTGTATGTGTGTGTATTTATATATACATAATAAATATACACAGAACACAAACATATATTATGCAAACAAAAACTTTTATTTTGTATGTGATTAGTCGTGATTAATCGTTTGACAGCACTAGTTATTTTATATAATAAGGACGCCAAAGAGACAGTAAAGACTGATGTCTATTTTAATAAATAAATTACACACGTTTAATTAATGATATTTCTATTCTATTTCAAATGCATGCTGTTCTTGATGACACATGATATTTCGTATGAAAAAAAAACAGACAATAAATGGCTTTGTAATCATTCACCTCAAACTAAACATGCCTTCTACCCTGACTAAGGTTCATAGCCTTAATATGATGAACGTGACATGTAAAATGGCTGTATGTAACTGTTACACAAAGATGCACTCAGATCCTTACAATTTGCATAATTAAGGAGCATGCTGATTAAAAGTGAAGAAATGCAAGATAGATAGGGAGAAGAAGACAGGAAGTGAAAGAGGAAGAGAGCAAGAGAAAGGAATTTTTGTGCAGGGATGTAAAGATGTAGTGGCTGAAAATGCATACCGGAGGAATGTGGGGAAAAGAAGAGATAGAGCAAGAGACAGTAAGAGAGAAAGAGAGAGGGGAACGGAAACAGGTCAGAACTGCATTGACAGAATCAAACGAAGGACAGGTGGAAAAGCTTCTCTGTGATTCTAGTGGATTTGCTGAAAAAAAATCAAAAGGACAAAGTGAGTCTAAAGACTGAACCTACGAAAGTGTCACCAGTCAAAATAATAGAAAATGGATATCTGTAGACTTTAAGAATCATCCACTGGAGGGAGAGACACAGAGGACCAAAGGCACACGATCCTTCCCAGTCCTTCTGTACTCGCACACAGACTGTGTTTATATCCTTCATATTTGTATTTAAAGTTAGGCTCTATTTCTGCAATGAACATGGAAAACATACTGCGGAAATAATACAATATTCCTTGTTTTCTAGTTAAAGTCAACATGAAATTGCATTCGCAACTCAATTTTCTTTTGCAATGTGATACTCATGAGTGGAACAGGATATTAAGCGAGAACAAAAGTAGAAGTTGACCTGATTTTATTTACTAGTTGACGCAGAGGCGGAACTACTTACTAAAATTTGATGAAAGATTATGAAGCTTTTTTTCTGAATAATATTATGCCAATGAATAAGAGCAGGTAAGTGTATTAAGAAACTAAGAAGGGTCTATTCTGATTTCATGTTGATTTGAACAAATATGTAAAGTCATAATCTCTCATAAGAATCGCTAAGAACTGCAAAATGACATTTAAGATTTCCTGTTATAGTCACAACAAAATCCTTTCCATCTGTATGTGAGTGAGTGAGTATTTGAGTACGGTGCAGAAGGGCTGACAAGGTACCCTCCGTTCCTGCTCTCCAGTGGATGTGTGCGTTCGGATGTATGTGTCAGCTGGCTAACGCTTTCACCGATACCCCACAACGTAAAAAGAAAGATACAGCAGCTCACCAACACCAACACTAACAGAAAAAAACGGACAGCTTTGATTGGCTGTGGCGCATCCACGGTGGGCTGCTGCCGCTAACCTTGTAGGCGACCCGAGCTGGGCACCTCTTCCCCAGGCCTAGCGGAGGACACATGTGCCTGAGCATCTCATACATATCACTGTAACTGATCCTGCCGCTGTAAGGGGAGTGGGGTGGGAGGGGAGGGGTGAGATCCCCAGAAATTAAACGGGGAGAACGAGGGGAAAAAATAGGAGGAGGACAACGGACAATAAGAGAAACAATGGAGGGGGGGAAAGGACATCATGGGACAAACCGGAGGATGGTGGGATTTAAACCAAAAAAGGAGGAAGGAGGAGGAAATAAGAACGGCAAGAAAGAAAAACAAAGACACATAGGTTATTGTTTTGGTCTGGGCGAGGGGCGGGGTTTTGAGAGCGTGAGAGCTCTTGGTTGGCTGGAGGTTAAACAGGAGGAGGGGACGCTGGTTTTTAGTCCTAGTAAAAACACGGTTCTATGCGATCGTGGGACGGTCCCATAGAACTGCAGTGGGGCTTCAAACAGGCAAAGAAAAGCTCCGCTGCTTGGTGGTGAACTATGGTAGTCACGTCAATGCAGTCCTCTGATCCCCAACCCTCACTTCGTCCCCAAACAAGAACAATGCACACTGTTACACCCAGTTTGCCAAGGCATGGTTCAACAGCAAGCAGAAAGAAAAAAAATAACAAAATAACTGATTCATTTTTTCTTTTTTTTTGTTTTGTTTTGATTGGCTGTTTAGAGTGATTCATTCCACAGAGAGATTCATACAGACTTGGCTGTCGATGGCAGTGCACGTCATGCTTCTAAAAAGGTGTCTGCATTGTCCCGCACATTCTCATTTGTCATATCAGAATGCATATAGAGATGGCAAATAAAATAACAAAAATGAATTTCAAGTCAAAGAAGAAAAACTGTGGAGAAGAGTAAAAAATAAACTGAAAAAGAAAACATAAAAAAGAAAAGCAACATTCATTCCAGTCTTCAATGCGAGCAGGTGCTTAAGTTTTTTGTTTAGTAGGATTCAAACCTTGCAGGCCACCCTATGAGGACATTTCTTGCCTAAGCCCAGCGGGGGGTCGATAACCCGCAATAAACTGTACATATCCTTATAATGAATGCGCCCGCTGCAAGAAGAATACAGGGAGGTTAGAGAGGGGGCACACACAGGAAAAGAGAGAAGAAACAGAGCCAGAGAGCCAAAGAGGAGGTGGAGAGGAAGAGGGAATAAAAGAGAAACAAGAAGAGGAGCACAAAGAACAAGAGAATAAAAGCACACATATCCATTGACAAATCACAGACCAAACCCAGTGAGGCTGTTCCACTGCCTCAAACCGATATAAAACCATTCAAAGGACAGCCCAACCGATTTTAGGCTAACAAACATGTTTAGATCATACGAAAGACTAGAATCTTCCTGCAATGGACCCTTTTCATAAGACTGAGATGAGGAGTAATTAAAAACCCAGCAATTTTGACATAAAAATTAGTAAACACTAAAGGTCCTTGCACACTGACTCCGAAATTTTCGTATGCACTTTTTGTTTTTTCCTCGCATTCGTCATCCTTTCCTATCAAAATGCTTGCTATGCATGCGAAAACGCAGAAAATCGAACCTGATCCGAACCTGACCTGATTAATTTTTTATGACGGACGAAAGTTTCGGAAGCAGTGTGTAAACATGATGGACACAACGTGAGGTCGTATTTATTTTTTAACGTGCGAAAATTTCGGACGAGAATTTCGGACTCATTGTGCAATGACCTTAAGACGCAAGAGTCTTTCTTTAAAACAATTTTTTTTTAAAATTTCATTTAATTAAAATTACAAAAAAAAAAAAATACATAAATAAATTCATACATGCATGCTATGGACATTTGAAATGAATGCTCATGTACCTCTAAAGGAATTTTACCTGCTATATTTCACTTCCACAATCCAGACTTGGACCATTGCCTTGGATACATTTAAACATGCATGTGAGGGTTACTGTATCCGAGATTTCAACGCATGTCAAAATCCAGTCAATAAACCCAACCTATGCATGTGAATGAAATAACCAGATCAAATTTTGAGTAAAAAAAATGGTGAAGCTGTCCCTGAATGATCTTTAGTGCTGTTCTGAATCCTCCCCCCATCACGGTGCGGAGTAAACGAATCCACCGATATGACCGTGCACATGAGAGGCTCTCTCATCTTGGCGAGTCCAATGACTTAATTGAACTGCATACAGCGACAGCTACGTGGGCTTTACCAGTCAAAATACATGGTGTATTTTGTTAACGTTTGTATGCAGTGGCAAGTACAGAAATAAGCTGCGACAGCTTGTCTGTGAAGATGTTTGCCATGCACACCTGAGCCATAAAGATGGGAGAATTAAGTCATTGTGAAGTCAGAATCTGCCATGCACAGGGTCTCATGTTCAGCTCTCTCTTGCTTATATTCTTTTAAATCACTTCCTCGGTTTCTTGCTGCAGTTTTTTTTTTTTAAACATTTTTCTACACTTTGTTGCACTCAGTTTTTCCATTATTTTTTTTCACATTAAAAATGTTTTACGTATAAAATATTTGATTTTTAAGTTGAAAATCATGTATACTGTAGTAAAAATGCAATTTCTTTCCTTCTTTCTGACTCTTTGAATGAAAGCATTTGTTCAAATCAGGATTATGCAAAATTCAGAATTTAAAAATTGGTTCCCTTGCATTTCATGAGTTTGAATTGAATTAGCCACATTCCACAGAAAGATGAACTGGAATTTAAGTTGGAATGACAGGAAGAGATATGTACAGAACTGTAATTCAAAGAAATTCAACATAAGTAATGCATTGTGGGAAATTAAATGTCTTTCCAACCTGGTTGGAGTTAATTTCTTTAATATGATGAAATATACACTATTAGTAAAATCAAATGTCTATAGACAGCCATCCATCCATCCATCAGGCCTATAAACCTTAGCTTTGCTTTTAGTTATATGAATTTTGATTAATTTCAGTGTTATTTATAAACATCCAAATTCAAATTGCAATTCTACATCTTGTTTGGTACCGTAACTCAAATTCAATTCAAATTCAAGAACTGATCTGGAAGAATAATAATAAAAAAAAAGGTTTTAATTATATTATGAATGGCGCACAACCCTGGTTCAATCGTTAAACCTTCTTTTGCTCAATCATCATCACCGGATGTGCACTGTCAACAGGGTAAACAGGGTTTCTCAGGGCTGGGGAAAGGAATCCTTTCCTTCAGACCAACTCTATGGGCTCCTGCAGAACAGCACTCGAGGATGAAGCAAGCACTGGGACGGGGGGGAAGTAGGAGGGATATAAAGACAAACACTGGGCATTTTGAGATTTTGAAATCTACTATCTGTCAGGGCCTTGTCTTGAGTGACTGTGGACACTACTATGGGACGTTCTGGGGATGTTTTCAGTAACAAAAGATGTAAGAGGCTCTGGGCCAGCAGCTATGGAGAAGAATGATTGGTTTTTGAGTTAGTTTGTGTGCACATATATATCTGTGACAAAATAAAGAATCTTTAGAATGTTACAGTGTTTGAAACAGAGCTTGCAGTGAACATGTTTCCTTTTTAAAAACTGTTAGTATTAGGTGATTTAGGTTTTCCATTCTACAATTTAAAAGTAAAAATCAATGGTTGCATGTGTGCCTAAAAGAATAAAATGTGTGGTTTTGTGTGTTTGAGTGGGAGAAAAAGTGTAAAAGATGTGTACGTTTAACTCACCAGGCTGCTGGGTCATACTCTGCCCAAATCCTGACATACTCATCCAAATGATGTGGACCCAGAATGGAGGAGTCCCTGGTCAGGTACTCAAAGTTATCCATGATGACAGCGACAAAGAGATTCAGCATCTAAACACAAATACAACCCCCACAATGCAAGCCCCAAAACATACAGAATTAATTATTTAATGTTTGAAGCAATAAATAAAGAATAGATGCATCTCTGAGAGAAAAAAGTAAGTGTAAAAAAAGTGGGATTAAGGTAAAGGAAGGCGAAAAGAAACAGGTGGAGGCTGTTCTCACCAGGAAAGAACAGAGGAAGATGAAAGAGACAAAGTAAGCATAAGCAAAGTTGCTGCCGCACTCTGACCCCTCGTTCCCAGAGTTTTCATCACACTCCATTCCTCCGAGACATGCCAGCATGATCTCATGCCATGCCTCGCCTGTGGCACTCCTGTTACCAAAACATACAAATACATGACATTTAAAGGTGAAATAAAACATAAATATTAGATGAAATACTTAAAACTGAAAATAATGCTTTTGCAAGTCACTTAAAAAAATTAAATAGAATAAAATAAAATAATTAAAACTGAAATAAAAAAATAAATGCTAAACAGAAATATATAGATTTTTTTTTTTTAAAAGCACAAAACAAAATTACTAAATCTTTAGCTAAAAATGAAGCTTTGAATATTTTGGAGTGAAAAAAGTCTTGTTCCTTAAAATAAAAAGGTTTAATTTAAAACCACCAAAATTACTAAAACTTAAATCTAAAAAACTAAATCTGAAAGATAAATTAAAGCCAAGTAGAAAAAACTATATATATATATATATATATATGGTTTTTATATACTAAAATAACACTGGTAAAGACACAAGACCGACCTGAAGAGGAGCATCAGTGCCATGATGAAGGTTCTGAAGTTATTGTGTTCATTGATCGCACTACCTTCCTCTGCATCCAGCCGCAAGTTCCCAAACAACTACAGAATCAGAGAGAAAATATAAAACTACTGCACACATCACTGATCTCACAGATGAGATCTCTCAGCAACCTTATGCCACTTCTGAACTTGTTGAAAGATGCTTAATTAGGATAATTTTGTCTTTATTTAGATTTTCAAAAACCCACAGTGATGTTAAAACTCATTTCAAACAGAACAGCTGTTACCTGCATGCCAATGATGGCATAGATGAAGAACAGAATTGCAATGAGCAGGCACACATACGGCAGAGCCTGTAAATGGTAGATAGAAAGACCATGAAAGGAGAAAGAAATTGGACAGAATTTTGAAGTTTGGTCTGAAAGTCTGTGTATGTGTTTTTACAGATGTGCACACTGTAAAATAGGTTGAGTGCATTGTCACTTTGCTTGTATAAAAGTTACAGTCGAATAAAAAACACATTTCTACATCTACAGGTATTGCAATATTGCATGAAATTATGTACTGCAATGATTATTTTTGGACAATATATTTTTTTTTAATGTTCAAATAAGCTCAATTTACAGAATGCTCAGATGCCAAATAACTAATTCCAGTCTCCAAACTGTTTTCAATGAATCATGGACATTTACTCTAACTTTTTTAGGCAGGACAGTTGGCTATACACTTTCATTACATGTAGAAAATATGCAAAGAAATATTTCTCAAGGAGAAAAATTGCTTCTTTTTAACTCTAAGGTGGGACTTTAGAGTGCCTGACATTTTGATGTGAAGATTTTGGTGTAAAAATGTCTTGCATTTATCTTAACTTTTGTCCCGCATGTGAATTGGTGTGGATGTGTGACTGTAGGCATTAAAGTATGACTTTTTGTACCTTAAATGACTGAACGAATGTCCAAAGCAGAATGCGAATGGTCTCGCCCTGCCTCAAGAGTTTAATGAGACGTGCTGCTCGGAAGAGTCTCAGAAAACTCAGGTTTATGAAGTTATCCTGGGGAGATTAGATTGAGACATATGTAGAAACAGAGACAGAGGAGCATGTTCCAGAAGAAAAGGGAGAAAAGAGTGCAAGAGACCGCATGTGAAAGAGAGAAAAAAAATCACAATCAGTTTACTTGATGATGAATCTAATTTTCTTTTTTTCAAATAAAAAATTAAATAATAATTTAGAGAGAAAGTGGGTTAAAGTAATACATAAAAGTATAAAAAGATTTTCTTTCTAAATGTATATAAATACACATAATGTACAAAATAAGCTTAAAATGGAATTGACACTAAAAATGAAATATAAAATCGTAAAAAAGGACCAAATTAATTCAGGAGGGGCTTAAGAAAAACAATCAATAAATTGTAACAGTCAACATCCAATCATATATTAAAGCATAAACTTTTTTTAATCAAATGCACTGATCTGTTGAGACAGGCAAGGCACAGTATGAAAGCAGCCTGATGCACTATAATATTTTAGCAAATACAGGCATACGGAGTAGAATACCGACAACATTAGCCAATGGGGATTGGCTGTGTTGGTCATGTAATTCTCAATGGTCCAGTCCACACAAAGTTCATGCCAACTGTCTTTTTTTTTCTCAAAATTTCAGTGTTGCATTTTAAACGCAACTGACACAATCGCTCGAAATATTGAGTTCAGGCATGGTACAATAAATAATAAATCATCTCAACTGTGTGGACAGGTTATTGAGGATCACTCCCCCATTCCAGCATACACAAATTTCTGAGTGAGCTGCAGCGCCCTCTTCCATACAGAGGAGGAACTACAGTAGTGCAGAACAGTCAGATGAGACCAGAAAAGATAAGGTAGTGAAAGAATAAGAGTCATCATGCAGCTTTTGCTAAAGTGCATGGCATTCAGCGATGGCATGACAATGTCTGTGACTACCTGTGAAAGTGTAAAGGCATTTTTATAAGCAAAAACAAAAACTCTCATTGGTCAGTGGGTAACCAGGCAGATTAGAACTACAGGTCAATAAGAGCAAGAGTCAGCTATTGAAATTTGTCTGAATCTCTTGTGAATACATTTAGGTAAATCTCTATGTTAATTTGGTTAAAGTTACTTTAATTTACTACATATTGGCCCTTGTACTTATATGTAAGTGTGTTTGTATTAGGGTGGGCGTTATGACCAAATGCTTACATGAGTAATTTTAGATAATTGTAAAAGTCTACATGACAATGCAGTTGTGTTTCTGGAAATGTGATGAAAAATGGTTAATAAATAATCCTGTAGTAATGTTTATTCTGGATTTCTAAGCTCCAAACCATATCCACACAACAGCTTTTCCTTATTTTGACCCACAAAACGATAGCTGTGTGGATAAAACTACCATGGTATAAATAGTAAACTGACACTTTTTTTAACCATCATACCACCCTGTCCTAGTGTTTTGAATTACTAATAGAATATTATGAGTGTTAACATGCTGTTACCATGTTAACATGTTAACAAATATCCAATTGTCAAGCATCTTTGGGGTAATGGGTCATCATACTGGAAGCACATGCTCTGAGGAAAGTGGGGAGGGAAGAGAGAAGCATTTTGGGTAATGGATGCATTAGAAGCCGAGAGAAAATTACAAACCAACCGGATTCTATGTGTTGTTGCAGTAGATGGAGGCATATGTGTACAGTGAGTGTGTGAGGGGATTGGATGGGTACACATGAGATGATAGATATGAGAGTTTCATAGTGCATTTTTGTTTTGTTTTGGATTGGATGGGTTTATCGCCAACAAATCAGAGGAACAAAGAAAGCATGTAAAAAGATAAAACAGGAATAAGTCGTTATGGATACAGTCAACAGGCTGATTAATCAAACACAGATACGGTGGGTATTGATTCACTATGCAGGCTGTTCCAGTGGCCAAACTGAATTTTACTAAAAAAAGAAGAAAAAAAAAAAATTTATAATAAAGAAATAAATGCTGACCTGGCAAATAATCTAAATAACTCAATTATTGAGTTTTAGCTTTAATAAACAATTATTAACCAAGTTAAATAACTTTGACTAAAATTGCTAAAACTACATTAAATAGGAGTAAATAGAAATATAAAATGAGAAACAAATAAAAAATTCAAATGATTAAGAAAGTTAATTCAAAATATTAATATATACGATAATATATAAATATGACTAAAATAGCACTGATTTATATTGAAAGTTATATGAACAAATGTATATAAAAGTTATACAACAATTCACATCATATAATATGTGACCACTGGGAGAGCCCAAAAACTTCAGTGTAACACATCAGAGTAAAGTGTCTCTGTCTCATTTTTACTAGGCACAGATGAGACACAACACCAGCACAAATACACACTCAAACACTGACATTTACACACAAAAACCAGTACAAATACACACAACACTTAGAATGCCAATAGAATGAACACATGATGTGGAGGATTGAACAGGTAAATATTCAAATATACAAAAATTGTAACATTTTTCCGCCAAGCTATCTTTACCACATAATTTTGGAATTGTTGCAATTAAATCTTGCTTATTAAACACAATATGAAGAATTCTGCAATAGGATGATATTTTAAACACATACATTAAGTACTTAAATATTTATGTGCATGAGAATGAAACTTTTTACTGTCCCTCAAAAAAGGGAAGTGATCGCAAGAGCTGCATTTACCGGTATTAAAATTAGTATTTATTTTTATTTTTCTTTTCTTTTATTTAAAGTTGTTATATTCACATCTGGCCATTCAGTTCCAACATGAATCAAGATGCAATCTGCATTCGCTTTATAAACTTGTCTAAAAGTGCACTTACCCATAGCTCTGTCACCAAAATATCAGTGATGCTGCCGATAACAGACACAAAATCAAAAATATTCCAAGCGTCTCGGAAATAATTCTGCAGAGAAACAAAAGGAGACAAGTGCATTAGAAAGCTGTTTGATTTCTAAACATTTTTCTAAACGGTTTAAAAGAAGAAAACATTTAAAAAATCTCAGGTCTAAATAAGTAACAGGACATCTTTAGGTGCAATGAGTAATGCTAGGAAGAGCTGGATGTATGAATGCGATTAAGAGAGACTTACTCGGGCACCAAAGGCAATGATTTTCAGAACACACTCCATGAAGAAGAGTGTGGTGAACACTATATTCAGGTTCTTCAGGACTACATCATACGTCGAAGGGGCCCCATGATACTGGAAATGCACAGAGAAAATTCAGACCCAAACGGATGCACAAGGGCATTACTGATGCTAAGGGAGTAAGAAGAAGCTTGTACCTTCATCATAAGGACGATGGTGTTGAGCGCAATGAGAGCCATGATACTGTACTCAAACGGAGGTGACACCACAAATTGCCACATTCGGTACTGAAAGCTTTGCTTGTTCTGAGGCATGTGGCGCGTTAGAGGTTTGGCATTTATAGCAAAATCAATACAGGCTCTCTAGAAGACACAGAACAACAGAAAACAGTGAAAGAAGCATCTGATGTATCATATTGCGTGTTTGTTGCTGTGGAGAGAGAAGTGAATAGTAAAACTGTGGATTTCCTGTCTATAATGTGGCTAAATATAAAAAAATATGAGAGCACAAATGTGACCAGCTGAATCACAGCTGCTTTTGACTCAGAAACACATTTATGGTTTATGTATATGAATTTGAAAAGTTTTCTTATGATATAATTATTGTTTCTTCTTCAAAACGTTGAGATATCTATCAATCTATCTTAGCGATATAAACTCTAAAAAGGAGCAGATTACTAAAAATCTAAATATATTCTTCAATAATAGTAATATTTATAAATAAAATAATAGCAGTCTGCTACTTTCTAGAGTTTGTGATAAAAACGTCAATTTCCCAAATGAAACTGTCAAAAATAACATAAAAGACAAAATAGCCAATAGTCAACTTTGTTTTGCTTATGATCACAAAATATTGGTTGAAATACCACTTTCTTAAAGGAATAGTTCACCCAAAAAAGAAAATGTCCAAACCCGTAAGACCTTCGTTCATCTTTGAAACACAAATTGTGATATTTTTGATGAAATCCAAAAGCTTTCTGACCCTGCATAGACCGCAACACAACTGAAATGTTTTATGGCCCAGAAAGGTTGTAAGAACATAGTTAAAATAGTCAATGTGACATTAGTGGTTCCACCGTAATGTTATGAAGCTACAAGAATACTTTTTGCATGTGAAGAAAAACAAAATAACCACTTTATTCAACAATTTCTTCTCTTCCATGTCAGTCTTCGACACAATCTTCTCGTAACTTCATAAAATTATGGATGAACCACTGATGTCACGTGGACTATTATATTGATGTCCTTACTACCTTTCTGGGCCTTAAACGTGGTAGTTGCGCTGCTGTCTATGCAGGGTCAGAAAGCTCTCGGATTTCATCAAAAATATTTAAATTGGTGTTTTAAAGATGAACAAAGGTCTTAAGGGTTTGGAACAACATAAGTAATTAATGACAGAAGTTTCATTTTTGGGTGAACTATCCTTTTAATTACATGAAACTATTTCTTATTGAACTACTTTTTAGCAATGAATAAAACTAAACTTTTGGGATGCACTATGGGATTGAAGGATTTATAAGATGTTGCCTTAAATTTTGGTCTAAATTAGGCATGTTTGCTGGTTTACTCAAGTGAATAAATTTGCAAATACCTCATTCTTTTCTAGGCTGTAGTCCTCCATCATCTTGTCTCCTTGCTCCTGGAAAGTGATGATGATGAGAGCTACAAAGATGTTTACGAAGAAGAAGGGGAAGACAACGAAGTACACCACGTAAAAGATGTGTCTATGCAGGGTCAGAAAGCTCTCGGATTTCATCAAAAATATTTAAATTGGTGTTTTAAAGATGAACAAAGGTCTTAAGGGTTTGGAACAACATAAGTAATTAATGACAGAAGTTTCATTTTTGGGTGAACTATCCTTTTAATTACATGAAACTATTTCTTATTGAACTACTTTTTAGCAATGAATAAAACTAAACTTTTGGGATGCACTATGGGATTGAAGGATTTATAAGATGTTGCCTTAAATTTTGGTCTAAATTAGGCATGTTTGCTGGTTTACTCAAGTGAATAAATTTGCAAATACCTCATTCTTTTCTAGGCTGTAGTCCTCCATCATCTTGTCTCCTTGCTCCTGGAAAGTGATGATGATGAGAGCTACAAAGATGTTTACGAAGAAGAAGGGGAAGACAACGAAGTACACCACGTAAAAGATGGACATTTCCATCCGGTACCCCGGGCTCGGGCCCTGGTCCTCATAAGTGGAGTCCACAGAGTGCTTCAACACCCTTAAAGAGAAATGACAAAAAGAGGTGATGACATAAAAGGAGAGATAATAAGCCACTAGAGATTTGTGAGCATGTCAACTCACTGCGGCCATCCCTCTCCGGTGGACACAGTAAAGAGAGTAAGCAGGGCCCAAAGCACGTTGTCGTAGTGGAAATCGTACTTCTTCCACTCCCGCTTCTGCGATTTCACCTCGTTATTGCGCTCATACACCAAATATTCGCCCCTGAAACAAAAACGCATATTAACAATTCAGCAATCAGGCTTTTTTCTTAAGGATGGGTGAGTATACATGTATTATTGTGGACCATGTTGCCACATTCATGTCAATTTTGGAAAACTTTTACATGCAAAATTTCCATTTTTGACATTTGACTGCCAGTGTAAACTAAAAGAAATCACAAATCTTTCATTGCAAGTCATCTCCACTTACCTGCAGTCACGGGCAAACTCTTTGGATTCGTCGGTGCAGTAGAAGAATCGTCCCTTAAAAAGCTGCACGGCCACCACAGCGAAGATGAACATGAACAGCATGTAGACAATGAGGATGTTCAACACGTTCTTCAGAGAGTTCACTACACAGTCAAACACCGCCTGGAAGAAAGACACATGAGTATAGCACGCTAACTTGGCTAACAAAACAAGATGGTGCGATAACATGTAACAGAGCTGTGTGTGTGACTTTAACAATACTTTTAGTTTGGGAAGACGTTTGATGGTCTTGAGTGGACGTAGCACCCTTAGGACCCTCAGAGACTTGATGACACTGATGTCTTTCCCCTTACTGCTCCCCCTGTGGATTGGAAGCAAACAACAGGACATCAACATGCTGCATGGTGAGACATAAAGAGAGACAAGGACTTCTTGAAAGACCTTCTTCAACACATTTCACTTCTAGACCATTCCTTGGGCTTCCACTTGCTCTTATTGTAGAAGATAGTTTCAATATCACCATGCAACAGTTAATACCACAGTATCTATCATGTATTAGACTTATTTTTGTGGAATGTTTATCATCAAAAATCTTTTTTTTCTTCAAGCAAGTCTTCAGATTCACAACCATCGTAGGGTTTCGGTCACTCGTTACCTTCTGTGGGCATTCCAAAAGCATAACACATTCATGTAAGTATCAAAACTGTCAGGCATTTTCCGGTGCAATGCCCAGCCAAACCTCTTTCTTTCTTTTTTGGTTTTTAGCTGTGTTAGAGCAGACAGGGGAATGGAGGTCTGGGATATGGAGGCTGTTTGTGTTAATCGTAGGTAACATGACAAGACTGAGGGTTCACCGAGATGCAGAAGGCTAGCGGACTTGAGTCCAACTGTATTTTGTCCCTAGAAGAACTTGAGGAAGCTCAAACCAGGAGACCAAGACAAGTTACAAGGACATTTTATTGCATTCAAGAAAGGAACTGTTGATAAACCTCCTGCCTCCAAAGCACATTTGGATTTTTACAAGATATTCAAGAAATGCTGGCCATTTTGTAGGATTTTGAACTGGCCATTTTGAAGAACTTAATGTTTAGCATCACATTGGCCAAAGTCTGTCTACACTGGATGCATCAAGTTGCTTATTCCAAAATATTTACTAACGTGGACCAATGGAGTGTAAGCTCAAGACTATATATATATATATATATATATATATATATATATATTGCATGGGTTGTTTTAAAATAATAATAAACATGACATTAAATAAATTATATATAAAAAAGAAATGAATGAATGAATAAATAAGGGTTAATAAATAAATTTATTAAATAAAATTTATTTTTATTTGATAAATAAATCGTGAAGCTGATATTAGGTTATTAATGAGATTATTTAAATATATAACTAATAAAATTCATAATAAAAAATGCAGGGCTCATTTCAGAATAAAAAAAACAATAAACAAATAAATATTGAGGTTAATAATGTGTTTATAATGAGGCTATTTAAATACAGTAATAAAGTAAAAATTTAAATAGAGGTATTTTACTTTAGATAGATGGCTTGAGCAGTAAAAAAATAAAAGTGTCCGTCAATGAAATCCACAACTGGTACTTCTAGAGTATAGTGTAATGTTAGTCACATCTCGCGCCTTATGCACCCAGTGTAGACAGTGTTAGCCGTCAAGGACGAATCCTTATTGACCCCATGATCAATCTTGTGAATGTGGCAGAGGTATTTTTTTAAGTATTTACACAGGTCCCAAACACAAACAGAGAACTCTTCAATCAAGCGGCCAAGACAGCTGTCTTTAACTATGAACTTCCAGGCAAGTCCCAGCTGAAGACCGGCCAGCTCATGGCAGATTGATTGTGTCGGAGCATTGGAAAAGGTCCAGGTGACCAATAATCAATTAGTCGCTCCTGACTGTGCTCAGAGAGAGTTGTGCAGTACCGTAAGCAGTGTGCAAAAAGTGTGATCTCTTCTGTAACATTGTGTTCAGTTGTTTAGGTCCACAGACGGACCCCTTAGAACCAATGTAAGTCATGGCAGAATAAAACAAGCAGTGGAATGGAGAGAACCAGAGCAGATGAGCAAAGAGGAAGGGAGGATGGTTGGGAGGGAAAAAGAAAGAAAGAGAGAGAAGCCATCACGTGAGCTGGACGGTAGCCGTGCGACAATAAGGAGTGGAGACTTTACCGAGAGAGGCTCCTGTTGGTCACCAAGGTGTAGACATAAGAGAGGGTCAGAGACAGACAGCGGAAGAAAGAAAGAGACAGAAAAGAGAGGAATACACACAACACAGAAAAAACAGAAAGAGAGACAGAAAAAGAAACAAGATACTGGGAGTGGCTTGGCAGAGGAACAACATCAATATGAGAGACAGACAGACAGACAGAGAAAAAGGACCAAGCAAAAAAACCTAAGCGAATGATTTAAAGAGTTGAAAGCCCCCATGTTCAGATATTTAAAAGTACAAACCAAACAAAATTAAAGATGCACTAAGCAGTGTTTTACACCTCTGACTAATATGTCAAATTCAAATTATTGCAGGTTTGATCACAGTTGACAAATATGCTTGAATTGGTCTTCAAAAACAACTGCTTTTGGGTGATTTGTGTAATGTGATCCAGTAGGTGTCAATATTGAAACTTTGCTTAATGTGTCTTTAAATCATCTATTCAAAAAATTGTATAGACATACATATATAATATAATTGACCATTGCTGAGCACCACCTACTTGATTACTCTTATCCGCTCACATACGCTTTGCAAAATGAAAAATATTTTCATGAGAAGCATTTTTACTAAACTGTGCAGTAAAAACTTAAATTATATCATCCATCCACATATGCTTCTTTGCATATTTGTTTAAAATGGTCTGTAAACTGTTGTACTGTAACCGTTGCTGAGGCAGATTGGTCAGTAATGCTAGGGAGGGGCTTAGCAAAGGGTCAATTAGTTTTAAATCCAGACAGAATCCTTAAAATGTTTGAAAGCTTTTGAGAGGTCTGATAAGAATAAGTAGTATACAGATCTGAGATGAGATCATATCTATCTGTTTATTTCATAACCAAGCTCATTATCTGAGAAAAGATCAGCACTTACCACTGTAGTGTTACATACTGAGTACTGGAGCATCTGATATCTCTTCTAGAAAGTCTATTTGTTGCCTATGCACACTTATTTTTAATCTGGATGCAAGATTGTACTGTACACGGATACTAATATGCCCTGATTTTGTGTGTAATGTTTTTGAAAGTCTTATATGTTCACCATGTTTTTTGATCAAAAATACAGTTAAAACAGTAACACTGTGAAACATTAACATTTAAAATAACTAATGTTTTCTATTTTAATATATTTTAAAATGTAATTATTTATTAATTTAAATACAACTTTTTTTTGTAACAACATAAAGGTCTTAACTGTCTCTTTTGAACAATGTAATGCATCCTTGCTGAATAAAAGTATTATTTGTTAAAAAAAAAAAAAAAAAAATTCTGAACAGTAGTGTATATATACTTCATAAATTATATTACACATAATATACATAATATATGCTGTTAAATGTATATAAATGATTATATACACAATATTAAATACCCTGTTAAATTTATATAGTTAAGAGAAATAAAATCAAAATGTGCTGATCTGTTGATCAAATTTAGCTGCTTTATTAGTGATTAACTCATGCTCGCAATTGCTACACACGTACACCTGAGTCTGCTGCTCTTTTTCATATTGACTCTCATGACAGAATCATTCTCATACACTAATGCCTGCCAGGTATTTGGCAGGTCTTTACTCTTGGCCTATACCCAGTCAATAACCGAGGATTCAAACTTGTCACACTTATAGATTAGGACAACCCACTGCAGTAGAGGAGAATCCTCCCTCTGCCATGCCAACTCTGAAAGCGGGGGAGATTCTCGACACCTTAGCACACTGTATCAGACACTCGAGCCGGAATGGAGGTGGAATCCATAACTGACTGCAGTGGAGCCAAAATGGCCACCACACTGCAGTCGCCTCAAGGTGGCAGTGTGGGATGGTATTTGTTTCAGTAACTATCAAGCAGCACATACAGTCCTCAACCCAAATCTACAGCGGTTATTGGGTTACATGCTTCTCAGGTATTTGTATTGACTTCATTCTAAGAATGAAGGTGGCAAAAGCATGATCATTTGTTGAGTCGTTTTGTTCTTATTGTGAAACTGTAATACATGAGCAAGCCTTTTCTCCACCTAACCAAGGTATTCTGGGTAATCTGAGATGCTTGTGTGTCATGTGACCATGCCTATACCCAGAATGCATCCATTTAGAAAGCATCAGGCAGTGGAGAGAATAAAAATTGTTCACCCAAAAATAAATTCACTTTCATGTTGTATCAAACCTGCATATTGTTAGTTTTAGCATGTGACAAAATGAAGACTTTAAAAAATGTACAGGTTTGAAACAATATGGCAGTGAGTAAATAATCACATGTAATAATGAAAGGGCACAACCTTCATTTCATGTGTGTGTGAGTGCGAGAGAGAGAATGAGATAAACAACAACAGATGAAGGACAACAGATGAACGAACTTCAAAAACACCAGTTAATAAGGAACTGTCAACCTGGAGTCCTCTTTTCTTGTATTCCATTTTCCTTAACATATCCTTCTATATCTCGTTCTCTCTATCTCTCCACATCTCTTGTGGTCTCTCTTTTTCACTCACTTTGTCAGACTCAACAAATGGAGGCCCAAATGATAAACAGCTTGACAGCTGGAGTCTGTCCAAGGAAGCTTACTGCTGAGGGAGGGAGAGGAGAGGAGAGGAAAGATGAGGAAAGGAAAGGTGAAGGGGATAGGATGGGGAAGAACTGTTTTTAGGAATGAGAACAGGAAGTGACACAGGACAGAAATAGGGTTGATATGGTGGAGAGGCTTCATTTAGTTTCAGGTCAGGGGATGGGGATGAAAATTGGGCACTGCGTATGGAGTGATTTTAACTCAAAGCAGGGTTTAAACCTATCGGGCCATGTGTATGTGAAGATACAAGCTGATAGGTTTCACTACAGGCATTCAGCTAACACATAGTCATTCATATCAGCATACTATGTGGCTTCTTTTTGCTAATATTTCAATAAGTACAGAAAAAAGTTTGACCAAAACTTATCAAATCATTAGTGTCTTATATCAATAAATAATATGAATGAATTTATTAAATAAAATAAATACAATACTGTTCAAAAAGTTGGAGAATGTCACATTTTTAAATGTTTTGGAAAGAAATCTATTAAGCTCAACAAGCCTGCATTGATTTGATTAAAATGCAATAATTATATACAATTTAAAATAAACCGGATTTTCAGCATTATTTGATGAATAAAAGTTCTACAGAACAGCATTTATTTGAAACAGAAATATTTTGTAACATTATAAATGTCTTTACTGTAATTTGTGATCTATTTAATGCTTCCGTGTTGAATAAAAATACGAATTTCTTAAAATAAACTGATCCCAAACTTTTGAACAGTAATGTATATATTAATATATTGTTTAAAAATACAATAATTAGCTTCAAATATTTGATTTGCGGCCACTCTATGCATGATGATAGTTTGACTGATGTAAATAATCATGGCCACATTCCTCAGTCTCCAAAGTCAATGTTGCTTTTAAAGGAGTTTGGATAGCAAAGTGTTAAAGACAAAACATTTTGACAAACAGTGAAGCAAATGACAGCTTAAGACAAGGTTACTGGTTAGATAGAAATGCAAAAAGTTAAAAATGTATCATATAATAATAATAATCATAGTAATAATATATTACATTCAGTAACTTGCAAGTGGATTGCCTTTAAGGTAAAGCAAGCTCGAGAAATTGCATAATGCATACGTAAAATCGTAACAGTTCTGAAACTGTTCATGATATATTTATTTACCTAAATCAATTTTTTTTTTTAAATAATGCCACTAAATATTAATATCAGCATACATACATTCTAATCCCTTATTTAGAAGTGTGCAGGCACTTTTAATGCCACAAGTGTTACAGTATGTCATTTAAGACACTCTGCAATCCCCACATACAGTATGAAAAACGTGTCTTGTATATACACATATATGTAATCTGGCCTACGGGACTGAGGAGGATGTACTAGATCATACATGCAGGGCTAAACAAAAGTAAAAATCATTCCACACTCAGAGCCTCATCAGCGGTGTTTACTCGTTCTCCTTTTTTAGTGACTAGCTGATCGTCCCGCTCTAGGGTTCAGCTTTATTCCTCAAGCGGCCTCTTCATATCCCCAAGCTGCTGCTCCCCCAGGCCATGCAAAGGAAATAAACCAGAGTACCTGTGGCAGGACGGGCTCACGCTGATCCAGACATAGAAACCGCCTGGGCACTAAAGGGCTACAGGTGCCTGGAGACCCCTCACCCCCCACAGGGCCCCAAAGGGCTCAAAACTACCCTTTTCAGCAGAGGGAAAGTATGAGGGGACAGGTTTATGGTGAACATTTGGTTGGTGGAGTAATGACAGATGGAAAAGAGCCCTGACACTCCAACAAATCAAATATTTGCTTGTTTAACCACTTTTAGAGATTATTATAAACGTTTTTTTAATTAAAAATTCAACTAAAACTAACTAACTAACATTCTACTAAATAAATAAATGTATTAGTAAACGTTTTTTTTGTTTCAAATTTTGTGCATCGGTAGAGTTTCAAAAAAATTAAAATAAATAAAATAGACTTATTAGTAAAAGTAGACCAGATTTATTTAAAAGTAGTTTACACATTAGGTGTCATGGAATTTCTAAAAAAAAAAAAAAATCAAATAAATAAATAAATTGATTAAGTAGTAAAAGTAGATTGGATTTAGATTAGATTTTCTTATATACTTCTCCCGAATTTCCTTTGGAGAAATTAAAAATAGACACAAATAAGAAAATTACTCACATATAAAATTAATGTGCGATAAAATATATGTCGATGTTATAGCTCAAATAATTTGGCCTTGGAAGAATTTTATGAGAATTTGAAATATTTGAGATGGTATTGAAATCTTGAACTGTGATATCATGTGAAAACTAAGCACAGCTTGCGACAATGTTAAGATTTCTTCAGAAAATGATATGTGAGATTAGTGGTCTTTTAGTCATAAATCTGAGACACAAATCTGAGATTTGAGCAGCATTCTCCATTTGTTATCCCATTTCTGC